GACACAGGGTGGGGAACACCACATACTGTAGCCTGTCGTGGGGTGGGGGTTGGGGGGGGAGGGATAGCATTAGGAGATATACCTAATGTAAATGATGCGTTAATGGGTACAACACACCAACATGGTACGTGTATACATATGTAACAAACCTGCATGTTGTGCACAGGTACCCTAGAACTTAAAGTATAATAAAAAATAAAACGACAAAATAAAATAAAATAAAATGGGGGTGAAAGTACATAGCAAGGGTTAGTTCTCTTCTTCTGCCTAGGTGCAGGATCTAACCCCATGTTAGTAATGCATGAGAATGAAAGAAAGCATATTAAAAGAGAGGAACCAAAAAAAAAAATGGGGGCGTAGATCATAGCAAAAGTAAGCCAGAGGCCTCTGCTGAAGTGGAACAAGAATGGGGAAGCATCCTGCTGTGGTGTCTTTGAGAAACCTCTGGCTTGCTTACCCCAGCCCCAGTCCTATTTCTCTTTAGGCTGTGTTACTCTCTAATCAGCTATAGGTACAGGTCTATGCTACACCAAGAGCCACCTGCACTGCTGCTCAGGCAGAAGGTGTGACCAGCACCCTAGGCTCCAGGTCAAGGCACCTGGAGGAGGGTGGATGGGGAGATGTCTGTGGCATGGATTGCTTATTTAGTGGATGTTGTGGCTACTTCCTCTGGGCCTTGTGAGCACACGTTTTCTCCTGGTGATCTTTTCTTATATTTGGCCAGATGCACATAAATGTAAAGCCCATAGCTGCCTCTGCACTCTCAGCCAAGTGGAAGTAGTATTCTTTGTTGTTCTTGGCATAAACCTGACACTCCTTTCTTTCCTGTACAGTAATAAAAGGCAGTGCATATCTTGCAAAGTCTGTTCCCTAGAAATTGTAGCACACACGTTAAGCTGACACACCGTGGTAGACAGCATGGGGCTGTGGCTGGGAATCTCCTGGGATTCTCTTTTCTCAACTATCAAGTTGGACAGTGATATCTTTGGGGGATACTTTAACATTAATTGAGATAGTGTTTATGATAGTACTTTGAAACTTTCAAAGCATCAGACACATGTTACTTGGTACACGATGGTGCATGACATTCAGAGACAGAGAGTATGTCTTGCCTGTAAAACCTTGAGCTAGTACTAGAGGAGATGGGACATATGTGGGTGTCTATGCAACATGGTTCAAAGTGATTATCTGCACATCTCTGATTTAAAGAAAAGCGCTGTGGAAAGTCAGTGGGAAGGATGCTTTGTGAAGCGGGTGATGCCTGAACAGTGCTTTGAAAGATGAGCCATTGAGGAAGGTGGTGTGTATGGGGCATTGACTTAACAAGCAGGTACTGGCAACAGGGCCTCCGGGCAGAGGGGATCACGTCAGGCATAGATCTGAGTGCATATCAGGCCTGTACAAGCCACAGCCTTCATTGAGTTGGATTGGAGCATTGATTTGGATTTGTAACCCAGACAGTGGGGAACCACTGAAAAATGTTGAGCCCCAGGAGTGGCAAGATGGAACTGAGCTCTAGGGTGAATAACCTGGCAACAATTTAAACAGGTGGAGAAGGGAGAGACTGGAAGCCCTTCTGACTCAGAGACTACGTGGAAAACACACAAATATCTAATGTGTTTACCTCCCAATATTATCTTGAAGAGTAAATGAGATAGAGGATATGGAAGTACATTTGAAAAAATGCATCCCGATGGTCCCTGTCCCAAGCTTCCTGGCCCCCTGGCAGCAGCTGATCACACTAACCTGCTGCCTTTAGGTGCCTTTAGGCAGCCTGGGTGAAGGTGTGGGCCCAGAGCCCGGCTGTGCCGGTCCCCTGTACCCTCCGGCTTTACCCCCCTCTTCACTCCTGCTCTTTTCTCCCCATTTGTTGCCTGCCCCTCCCTGCCTGGCTCCTGACGTCCTTGACTTTGTTTCCCATTTCTGGCTTGGGAATACCCGATACCTGGGGATTGGTGTGTTTCTTTTTCTAGGTATGCCCTTGACCCTTCCCAGGAAGCTCTCCCCTTCCCGGCCACTTGGAGGAACCACCTACTTAGACCACCCCCATTCCAACAAAGCCCTGGTCCCCAGGAGCTCCTCCAGGGTGGCCTTGCAGTGGTGACTGGCTTAGAGAGGAGTGCTGAGAGAAACTGGGAGTTGGATACAGATTTAAATGAATGCTGCTACCATTCACTAGTTTGGGAAGGGGAGTACTGAACTACTTGGAGCTTTGGTTTACTCCAGGGGAAAAGGAAGATAATGATCTGTCTCTCCATTTGGTTGTGAGGCTTAAATGAGGTAATGATTTAAAGGGCTGGTTGGTGTCTAGTGAATATGAGTTGCCCACTGCCTTTTCTTCTGACTTTCCATTCCAGATGAAGACTTTTTATTAAGAGCTTCACATGTTTCTGCCCTCCTCTCTCTGTTACATTTTCCTTCTTCCTCTTTTGCAAAAGTTTTGGTATAAAAAGTATAGTTATGGCCGGGCACGGTGGCTCACGCCTGTAATCCCAGCACTTCGGGAGGCCGAGGCAGGCGGATCACGAGGTCAGGAGATCGAGACCATCCTGGCTAATACGGTGAAACCCCGTCTCTACTAAAAATACAAAAAAGTAGCCGGGCCTGGTGGCAGGCGCCTGTAGTCCCAGCTACTGGGGAGGCTGAGGCAGGAGAATGGTGTGAACCCGGGAGGCGGATCTTGCAGTGAGCCGGGATCATGCCACTGCACTCTAGCCTGGGCAACACAGCAAGACTCCATCTCAAAAAAAAAAAAAAAAAAAAAAAAAGGGTAGTTATTTCTGCTCCAGGAGTTTCTACCGCTGCCTTGAGGGGGAGGACCTCGAGATCCCAATATAGGACTTGAAGCACTCTTTCCTATAGAAAGAATGTTAATAAATGTTGGATACTTGCATTGTGAGGACTTTGCAATGTTCCCTAAGGAACATTCTGGGCCAGGCAGGCTTTTGTGAAATCATAACAGCATTATTCATTTTCATGAGTAAGTACTCAGACAGATGTTCCCAAGCAAGCATCTTATCAACAACCTTACCAGAAACCATCCGATTATAACCTGAGGACTGCCTGTCCCCTCGGGTATTTGCTCTTGCCCTCATAAGCCTTGGTAGGTGGTTGGCTTAGGAAGCATTTCACACTGATGCAGGAGCTGTGTGAGCTTAGCCCCAAGTCCTGTGCTGTCCGGACTACTCCTTTTTTTTTTAAAAAAAAAAATAAAATCTAAGAACTTAAGTTTAATGGGATAAGAGAGTCAGAGGGGGACCTTGAGATATCTTACCTGCCCCCACTCATATTTAAGCCGTTCTTGAATGGCAAGAACTACCCCTTTATAGAACACTTGCTGATGTTTGTGACTTTTCATGATGATTTCCTACAAAGGCTTTTGCTGAGAAGTCCTTTCTTGATGTCTGTGGGTGCACAAGCCCCTGATGGGGAAGAAGTGCTCAGGGTCTTGCCACATACCACTCCTACCACAAGAATACACTCTCCTGACAACATCCCCACCACTTATGTCTTGTACCATAAGCATAAAGGCCACCCCCTCCCCAGGCAAAGATGAGTGTTGAGGCCTTTTATGTGCCAGGGATTAGGGAAGTCCAGTTCGGTATCTTTCCACTGTCCCTATCCCTGCTCCATAGGGTGGGAAGGGAGAATGGTAGGCACATCCCAGTCTTTAAGGCAATACGAGAATCCGCTTGTTACTTCATCTAGAAAAATGTAACATTAATTCAGCAACTTCTGGGAACCAGACACCCTAGCAAGTGCTGCAGCAAGTTTTTGATTTTTTTTTTTTTTGTAGTCACCACAACAAATCTGTAATGTGGATACACTATTAATGTCATTCCTATTTTAGAGATCCCAGGCTTTGGAAAGTTAATGACTTACCAGCTGTGACTCACCCTGCTGAGAGTGGCAGAGTCAAATTTAAATATGACTCACTTCAGAGCCCAGTCACTGAGCACACTCCCAGGCTGTGTTGGATGTGGAAGAGAGTGTGCCTGTCGTGGAGCCTTAGCTCTGACCCCTATGCCTGCGACACACACACCCTTGAATGTGCCAGGTGGGGACAGGGGATCAGGGCCTTGCCAGGCAAGGCTTAGCGCCAGCACCTGTGCTACTACTGGTGGGAACGGTAGGACACAGCTCTGCCTGAGCCTTATGATCCTATTGGTCAGTTTCCCTCCATGGCCTGTGTGTGTCAGGAGCACAAAGAGTCTTCCAAATGGTAGGTTTTACAGATGTGACAGTAGCATCTGCAGAGAGATGTAGTCTTCAGTTTACAGAGGAGAAAACCAAGTCCCAGAGTCCCTTCCCAGAAGAGCGAGTAAACGGCAGAGCCCTGACAGGACCCAGGTCTTCCCATTCCCCATCTAGCACCCATCTGCTGTTGGGAGGTTTGCGGTCTTGAGCATTTCCCTTCCTGATGTAAACCACTTGGGCTGCAGTTTAGGCCTGTTTCTTCTTTAGTGTTAGAGGAGGTAGAAAACCACTGATTTCCCATCCAGTGTTCTATTACCAAATGTTCCCTTCAGCTTTCTCTTCCTCAGGCTAATAGTTCTTTGCTTCTTTGTTCTAAAAGAACTTTTTTTTAGTCCAATTTTCTGCATTCAGGTGTCTCACTGGCCCTCCCACATAACCTTTCCTTTTTCTCAATCCTTACTCCAAACTAAACCACCTCTCTGTACGCTTGCCTCATGCATTTTTGGTCTGGTTCTTTTCCTGCTTCCTTTTTCTTTGTATGGTAGTTCTACTTCTTTTAAGAATTTTTCCCCAACTGAGGCCAAGCTGCCGTCATGACCAGTGTTGGCCAAAACCAGTCTGCGATCTTTTGTTTTGATAAGAACTTTGGGTATTTATTTTTAGTTCTGTCCTAATGTCTCCACCTCCTGTCCTGGTGCTCCCTAACTTAGACAAAACTAAAAAACTAGAAACATGTGACATGGGGACAAGGGTCCAAGTAACTGTGTCTTCATTCATTGGAAACTATCTGTTTTGCTTTTCAGGTACACAGATAAGCTGTTTCTCTCCAAGTTCTTTCTCCTGGCGTCAGGCTGCCTTTGTGGATTCATATTGCTGGGCTGCTGTTCAGCAGAAGAACTCACTGCAGAGCGATTCTGGAAACCTCCCACTGTGGCTGCATAAGGTAAAGGGAGACATTTCCAAATAGAAACCGTTTGCTTTATAGATAAGGAAACTAAGTCCCAGGGAGACTGCCAAAGACCACACAGATATTGTAGCCAACCAGGGCTGTATCTCGATGTAAAACTGTAGCACCTTATAGTCAAAAAGAACCTCTGAGATGACTTGGTGTAGGCACTGTCATTTAGCACAATGGGGCAATGGAAGTGTTCTTTGGGTTTTAGCTCTGTAACAGCAGGCACCTTCTGTGTCTTGTCACCTTTATATCATAAAGCCCAGCAGGATGTGTGGCCCATAGTAGGTTCTTAGTAGATTTTGAGTGGCAGAGCTAGGATTCATGCATAGCTTCTCAGCTAGCGCCTTTTATACCACACACAGGGTCTCTTGCAGAAAGTAAGGACTGACCTAGAGTTCAGTTGCTTCTAGGTGATATGTTACTGGAGCATCAAAAAACCTAGTGATGAGGCCCTATGGGGGTATTGGCTGTATCACTGCTTTTGGAATGGATCTGTTTGCTTTTGATAGATCCAGATACTGCAGGGAAGGGGAGATTACTACACAAGAGACACCAATGTCTGGGTTCCACTTCCCATAGAGAAGGGCAGTCAGGCGCTCTGTCGTCAGGGAAGTGGTGGTTTGTGCTTGCAGGTGGCAGGGGATGTAGCGAGGACCTTAGGCAGCAGTTGACAAATTTGTGCAGAAGAATGTTCTCTGAGTTATGAAGAGACTGCATTAGGTCTTCTCTGTGCTTATGAAAGTAGGACTTTGTTTCAGCCTGTCATTAATTTCAACCACTGTTTCTTTTGTCCATTGTGAAAACAAATAGAATGTGTATCTTCTGGTATTCATTTCTGCTGAACAAAATACAGAATTTTAGCTTTTGAAAACCCAAAAGCCAAAGTTTGACTCTCTTCTGCTTTGATCTGCTGCCAGACACACCATCAGCATCCTTCTTCATAAAAGGAATGATTTAAGGGAGCTATGACTCAGGCTTGTTCTCCCTCTTGTTTGTTTATAGTTGACCCTTGAACAACACAGGGGTCAGGGGCACTGGCTCTCTGCAAAGTCACAAATTTGTGTGTAACATTTGACTCCCCCAAAACTTAACTACTGATAGCCTACTGTTGACTAGAAGCCTTACTAATAACAGAAACAGTCAACACATATTTAATATGTTATGTGTATTATATATTGTATTCTTACAATAAAGTAAGCTAAAGAAAAGAAAATGTTACTAAGAATATTATAAGGAAAAGAAAATATATTTACAGTTGGTGCAAAAGTAATCATGGGTTTTGCCTTTAAAAGTAATTGCAAGGTGGGCGAGGTGGGCGGATCACCTGAAGTCAGGAGTTTGAGACCAGCCTGGCCAACATGGTAAAACCCCGTCTACTAAAAATACAAAAATTAGACAGGCATGGCTGGGCACGGTGGCTCATGCCTGTAATCCGAGCACTTTGGGAGACTGAGACGAGCAGATCACTGGAGGTCAGGAGTTCGAGACCAGCCTGGCCAACATGGTGAAACCCTGTCTCTACTAAAAATACAAAAATTAGCTGGGCATGGTAGCAGGCGCCTGTAATCCCAGCTACTCAGGAGGCTGAGGCAGGAGAATCGCTTGAGCCCGGGAAGTGGAAGTTGCAGTGAGCCTACATCGTGCTGTTGCACTCCAGCTTGGGCAACAAGAGTGAAACTCCATCTCAGAAAAAAAAAAAAAAAAAGATTAGCCAGGCATGGTGGTGCATGCCTATAGTCCCAGTTACTCAGGAGGCTGAGGCAGGAGAATCACTTGAATGCGGGAGGTGGAGGTTGAAGAGAGAAGAGATCACACCACTATCACTCCAGCATGGGAGACAGAGTGAGACTCCAAAAAATAATAGTAATTAAATAAATATATAAAAGGAATAGCAAAACCCACAATTACTTTTGCTCCAACCTAATATTTATTAAGTGGAAGTAGAACATCATAAAGGTCTTCATCCTCATTGTCTTTATGTTGAGTAGCTAAGGAGGAGGAGGAAGAGGAGGAGAGGTTGTTCGTGCTGTATCAGGAGTGGTAGAGGCAGAAGAAAAGCCCCATAAAAGTGGGCCCGTGTAGTTCAAATTCATGTTGTTCAAGCGTCAGCTGTATTGCTTGCCATTTTGCATAGTGGTACCCTATAGTGACTCTTTTCTTCATTTAGGTCGGGCTTTTCTCTTTATTTTCAGCCAGAGGTGGGTTCTTGTCAGCTTTGCATGGTTTAGTAGCCAAGGCAACATATAATAGGACTTGCAGTGTGAATGGCCACAGTTCTAAAGTTTAACAGCTTGCTTTGTAAATCCAAATTTTTACTGTAGTTTCAGTTCGTTTGTTATAGTGTTCTCATGAAAATGAAGAGTTTTAATGAGTCACTGGGCTGGCTTTGATGGATCCACAGGAGAATTGTCTAATGTAAGAGTTGGCAGGCGTGTTAGTAATTATTTTAGAGCAAGAATAAACTAACAGATATTTTATCCAGATGCCTTTTACATTTAAGGGTAAGGGAACTTTGAGGGATCTAGCCTAAAGGTCATAGGACTTGTTGCTGACTAACACACCAGAGCTCAGATCTTCAGACATCTAGCCCGTTGCTCTTCTAGTCAAGGAAGGGGAAATGTGGAAACAGTATGGGTAGCCAAATCTTAAGTTACCTGGTACTGATGAGAGATTAAGAAGCCCTCTTTCTGGCAGTGGAAGACTGCTTGTTTGAATGGAGGTTCATCTGAGTTTCTCAGCAGAGCTCTTGCCAGATTCACAAGGCTGGGGACCGAAATTGAAGTCAGGACCTGCCACGTTGGAAGGACCCTTATTAGCACTCCTTGGCATTTGCTTGGGACTCTGAAAGACTGTTCTTTGAGAACAAGGGGCAATCCAGAATTAATCTAGCTCCCATAGGGACTAGAGTCCTGATTTAAATCATTGCAATAGCAGTTGAGTGACAGAGATCAGGGATTGCCAGTGTGTGGTCTACTTGCCTGCCAGAAGTAAAAATAAATCGTTTCTGGAGGATTTTCTGGGTGTAATTATCATCCATCTTTTTTTTTTCTTTTTTTAAATTGTTTTTCTCTTCTTTTTTTTTGAGACAGGGTCTCACTTTGTCACCCAGGCCGGAGTGCAGTGGCACAAACATGGCTCACTGCAGCCTCAACCTCCTGGTTGTAAGGCGATTCTTCTGCTGCAGCCCCCCAAGTAGCTGGGACTACAAGCATGCACCACTACACCTGGCCAATTTTTGTATTTTTTGTAGAAATGGTCTCAAACTCCTGAGCTGAAGAGATCCACTCATCTTGGCCTTCCAGAGTGTTGGGATTACAGGCGTGAGCCACCACACCTGGCTTATTGTTATTTTTAATTTTTATGGTTACATAATAGTTGTATATATTTGTGGAATGCATGTGATATTTTGATATAAGCATACAATGTATAATGAGCAAATCGGGGTAATTGGGATACCCATCACCTTAAACATTTATCATTTCTTTATGTTAGCAACTTTCTGATTCCATTCATATAGTTCTTTTGAAATATACAGTAAATTATGAACTATAGTCAGCTTGCTATCTAAACCTAGATCTTATTCCTTTTATCTAACTGTATACTTACACCCATTAACCATTCTCCCTTTCCACTACCCTTCCCAGCCTCTGGTAACCTTCACTCCATTCTTTATGAGATCAGTTTTTTTAAGCTCTCACGTAAGTGTGAATGTGGAGTACTTATCTGTGCCTGGCTTATTTCGCTTAACATGACATTGTCCAGATCCATTCATGTTGCTGAATTTAACAGGATATCATGTTTTTTTAATAGCTAAATAATATTCCATTGTGTATATGTACCACATTTTCTTTATTCATTCATTGGATGATGGACACTTAGGTCAATTTCCATATCTTTGCTATTGTGAATAGCTCTGCAATAAACATGGGAGTGCAAATAACTTTGATATTCTATTTCCTTTCTTTTGGATATATACCCAGCAGTGGGATTACTGTATCATATAGTAGCTCTGTTTTTAGTTTTTTGAGGAACCTCCATATCGTTTTCCATAGTGGCTATACTACTTTATATTCCTACCAAGAGTATGGAATGTTCCCCTTTCTACACATCCTCACCAGCATTCATTATTTTTTGTCTTTTCGATAAAAGCCATTTTACCTGGAGTGAGATGATATCTCATTGTGATTTTGATTTGCATTTCCCTGATCAATGATGTTGACCATTTTTTCATATACCTGTTTGCCATTTGAATTTCATCTTCTGAAAAATGTCTATTCAGATTTTTTGCCCATTTTTAAGGTTTTTTTTTTTTTTTTGATACTGAGTTGTTTGAGTTTCTTACATATTCTGGTTGTTAATCCCTTGTCAGATGGATAGTTGGCAAATATTTTCTCCCATTTTGTGGATTGTCTCATTATGTTAATTGTTTCCTTTGCTGCATAGAAGCTTTTTAGCTTGAAGTGATCCTTCTTGTCCATTTTTGCTGTGGTTGCTTGTGTTCCTGAGGTCTTACACAAGAAATTGCTTATCCAGACTCACGTTCTGGAGTGTTTCTCCAGTGTTTTCTTCTAGTAGTTTCATGGTTTTAGGTCTTGTATTTAAGTCTTTAATCTATTTTGGTTAGATTTTTGTATATGATGAGAAATAGGGATCTGAGTTCAGTCTTCTGCATATGGATACTCAGTTTTCCTAGCACCATTTATTGAAGAGACGGTCATTTCTGTATTGTATCTTTTTGGCACCTTTGTTAAAATAAATTGACTATAAATGAGTAGATTTATATCTGGGTTCTCTATTCTGTTTCCTTTGTCTGTGTGTCTGTTTTTATGCCAGTGCTATGCTATTTTGGTTGCTATGGCTTTGTGATATAACTTGATATTGTGATGCCCCAGCCTTGTTCTTTTTGCTCAGAATTGCTCAGACTACTGTGGGTCTTTTGTATTTCCATATACATTTTAGGATTGTGTTTTCTATGAAGAATGTCATTG